TTTAACTCCACGTCTAATACGTGACAAATTTCGCATACTGTTAGTTATGCTTACTGTTGTTCGCATGTAAGTAACGCGGAAATGAGTTTGTTATTTGGGGCATTTTTGAGGCTGTATGTTTTTCGTTGTGTGGGACGTTTATTATGCGAGATACTGTCGAAATATTTTTTGGAAGATACTTAAAAACTCGAATAAAGCGTTCCATGTACTGGGAAATGACGACGGCACCTAGGACCTTCAAATTTTGAATAAATTTTAAGTAACATCCCAATTTTGAATTTACTCTCCACCCGAATATGTGCTCCTGGAAGCCTGAATTTTATATTTCACATTTTATAAAATAGTAATGAAATTTTGATTAACAAATTCCCTGATTTAAAAGCGAGGAGTGGAAATTCTGGGCGGTATAAAAAACTTTTATCTTTAACGCCCGTCACCGTCTAACAGAAATTCTAAGGATATGCTGTTTTTAAATACCTTGTGATTTTGCTGTTGAGTTGAATTTTATGTGGCATAGTGTGAAGAACATGATATTTAGTAAATTAACATGCAAAACGTTAATAATAAAAAGATAAAAAAAAGTTACGGAAGCTATTTTACCAAGAAAACTGAACATTGATATGATAAACTGAGAAATGACTGAAAAAATATAAAACGCTGCAGCAGGAATTCTAAACATATGCTGCTATGTTACTTTTAAAATTTTTGTAATTTTTCTGTTGAATAGTACGGTATAAGTGCGAAGAAAATGATGCCTAATAATAAAGCTAAAAAGACAAAAAGAAATTGATTAGTAGAAGGGAATTTAACAGCAGACTGGTAGACAGCGAGCTTAGCATAAGCCTAGAAATACCTTAAAAACCCCTTTTGAACGACCCTTAGAATCTGAACTCTTTCAAATTTTTATTGTTATTTATTTATTTTTTTTTCCTTCAGAAACCTTTAAATTGCAGTTTCATGCTTAGAACATTTTAAAGGAATTTTCTAACAGTGAACTTGCTTTTTGAGCCCATACTAATTTCGCCCGTGAATGTATTTTTGGTTAATTCATTTTCATTATTCAATAACTTAGTAGTATTTCGGTAGATTCATTTGTTTTCTTTCTAAATATAACAAGAAAAAAATTCGAGAATCTTCTATTCTTCGAATATCTGAAGATCGAAATCTCGTTCAAAAGCCTGCAACTGATACTCCCGGGAACACGATTTTGCACGTGAACTGACTGCGAATAAACGAAAACACAATCTTCTCTACGAATGAACAATAAAATGCCAAAATAAAGCAGATAAGAATACAATGGAGCCACTCTTTCCTATAATTCAAAGTTCGGAAAGAAACGGATAATTTGCCGCTAAAATTTATAAAAAAGTGAAGAAAGAAGTCAAATGAAAATGATTTTATTGTTAAGAAAAGAGAAAAAGGCCTGCGAAGGAAAGTCAAATACGATTGCGTAACACGGACAAGAGAAAGGGTTCTATATTTAGACTAACTAGTGAAACTCTTTTAGAAAGCTTGGTCAGCATGCAGTAGCTTGTATTTTTGGAAATAGAAGGAAATTCAGAAATGTTTCTAGAAAGTAACGAATCAAGTTTTAACAATTGCTGAGTTATTTGCAATGATTTCAAGATATTTTTTACTCTAGATGATTTTACTCTTACTTCTCGATCTATATGGTAAACATTTTTAGTCCAAAGGGGCAGTTTGACCAGAAGGACTATTTATTTGGTTTTGGCATTTTGCGTTGATTCACTTTTCACCTGTATTATATATAAAGAAATTAAATAACGAAGAATCTGCATAAATGTATATATGTTTCTCGCATTGTGATAAAACAACGTTACCTATAGCCATCAAATTTTGAATAACGGAATCGTCCTGCGAATATAGGAATCTGGAAGCCCAAATTTGAAATTTGGAATTTGTTTTATTATCGATTTCATATTTGGTAAAACTTTAACGAATTTTTGATTAACAAACTCAAGGATTTCAAAGCGAGTAATGGCAAAGTTGTACAGAAAAAACATTTTTATCTTCAGCGCGCAAGAGTGTGTATGCGAAATTCTAAAGATATGTTCATTTTAAAATTATTTTGAGATATTGCTCTTGAACTGAATTGTAGGGTTTAATTGCGAAGAAAATTATATTTAATAAATAAAGATAACACACAAAATGTTAAAAAAAAAGCCCATTTGGACGTAATTTAAAAGCTGAAACCTTTCAGATTTTTCAGATTTTAACTTATGTCCAAAGGGGCTTTCTTTTAACATTTTGTGTGTTGCATTTATTTATTAAATATCATGTTCTTCGCACTTAAACCATAAAATTCAGTTCAACAGCAATATCGCAAAATAATTTTATAATAAACATAGCTTTTATTTTAATAATAAACATAGCTTTAGAATTTCCGACACAGAAACTCGAGCGCTGGTGATAAATGTATTTTTTCTGTACAACTTTGCCATTGCTCGCTTTGAAATCTTTGAATTTGTTAATCAAAAATTCGTTAAGTTTTACAAAATATAAAATCGATAACAAAACAAATTCCAAATTTCAAATTTGGGCCTCCACATGCCCATATTCGTAGGAGGATTACGTCAGTCAAAATTCGAAGGCTCTATGTACCGTTGTTTTATCACAATGCGAGAAATATACATTTATTTATGCAGATTTTTTTCATTATTTAATTTCTTCAAATATAATGCAGGACTCTAACATTTGGTGGCAGCAGTTTGAAAAGTGAAATGGACATTTATAGTGAACTAAAGTAAAATCGCAAAACGAAAACAATAGTACTTCAGGGACAAAGCCCCTTTGGACTAACAAGGCATTTCTTAGAACGGCATAATCAAAAATTTTTAAAAAAGACTTAAAATTTAGATTTTAAAATTAGAAATTAGATTTAAAATTTTAGAAATCAGAATTTCGAAGTAAGAATTACATTTAAAATTTTAGAAATCGACGCTGGAAATGCAACACAATAGCACAGTATTGTATTTCGCTTAAGTGAATGTTTCAACCAGGGTTCTTCTCTTGAGAGATTTATTTTTTGAATTAGGACAGTTATAACTTTAACGAAGTAGATGGTGCGATGATGTAACCTTGTTCGTTTCAATCTTATTCGTAAGTGTCACTTTATTTGAATAAAATAATGAAAAAAGGATAATTCAAATGACAAAATATTTTGAAATTTTTCTACGGTTGAAACTTTTTCAAGCATCAGAAGCAAAGGAGTAAACATCAGAAGCAAGGAAGCAAAGGTTAAACAGTAAACGTATGAAAGTAAACATGGTTTCCTGGAATCCCTGTTTACTTTTAAAGGAAATATAATTGAAATTAAGGAAATCAGTCATCATAGTCATCAAATTCTGAAATATAGCATGACAGGAAAGATAAAAGGGCAAATACTTTTACTTCAAAATACTCTTTTACTTCAAAAAAGCAAATAATCATAATAATCATAACCAAATAATCAGTATAAATATATAAAATTTGTAGAGTCATTAGGTTCTTTTGTGAAGTAGAAGACATGAAAAATGAGCAGTGCCCTCGCAGGGACCTGGACTTCTCGAATACGCTCTGAGAGTGCTTCCATTACACCACGAAGGCATGCTGGAAGGAGGGAGAAAGTACCTTATAAATTATTGGAACTCTAAGAAATTAAAGAATATAAGAATGCTTCTACTTTTATGAAAAACTTTTCAAAGCTACTCCAAATGTTAACCTAATCGAAAGCAATGATATTAGTGAGGATACGGAATTAATAAAAAATGATTTTGAGAAATGTAAAAGGAACATCTGTTCCAAATTAAGGAAATGGTCTTTATGCTTCGATGCGACTCTATCTTTGTACTAGTACAGAAGGAATATAAGTCACCTAGTTTTATGTTTATATAAAAAAGAATAAAGTCATTTCTAAGATAATAATTTTAAGTAATTCTGTTGTCAAGATTTTTAATTACGTCATATAGCACTTGCATTAATCAGAGATTAGTTGTTAAAAATATCTATTCCTTAATTTGGAGACCTCAGGTTGATATTCGAGTTCTTCGGAAAAAAAAAGAAGGAAAAAAAAAAAATGGTTTACATCTCTCTTACATCCTTGTGAAAACAAGTTTCTCAAAATAAAGTCTCTTAGATGGGGGGGGGGGAGGGCGGAATGTATGCACTTTCTAGATGCATTTTGCAGGAAGCTTCTCATCGGTAAGCTTTCTGGAATCGAATTTGATTCATTTGTATAAACAACAGGATGAATTCTTAACTGTTGTTATGAAACATAGGCAATAACATGGAACTTAAGCAAACTGTTAAACAAGAGGAATTCCAAAATATTGCAAAGAATTTGCAAGAAAGTCCATTCTATTAGTTGATGGTCCCCATTTTAGGCCTCAGTCATAAATATCTGGTAAAACAAAAACGAAAACAAGAATACTTTAGAGAAAAGGAAAAAAAAAAAAAAAAAACGTAAGAAATGAATGAAGCATAGTCCAATTACTTCTGAACATTACGAAGTAAAACTTTGCATAATGAATGACAAAACATTTCCGAGTCTTATCATCACTACGCATTCCTTCGCAAGAAAATCCAGTGCCCGCGAACCACATGTTTGGCCTACTTGAGAACTTAAAATAGCAAGTGGTTACTTTCATCGGCATGCTTTTTAACTCGCGATCAACGTGACCATCATGAAGGTGTGATTCAATACAGAATCAGGTCGCTATCAAAAAAGAGGCTGGACAACTTCTTCACTGCTTCTTCCGAGGTCACTCATAACATGATCAATAAAATTCGTAGCTCGTCCATACCCTGTGGCCAAGGAACCAGATCAATTCTGGTCGCATCGAAGCGGAAGCGAAAGTGATCTACTTCCGCTTTACATCATGATGTACTAGTTCTTTTCCTTTCAAAGAGGTAGAACTAATTGGGGAGGGGGTTACGCCCTTTGTGTGGAGGCTGGAATATCAGATCATTCCTCTAGGGTGATTGTTGCTATACTTATGCAACCAACGCAATGAGGAAAGAATGAAAGCAGGATTCTTTTCGATGGCTATATAAACAAGGCATGGCCATACCGTAGTTATTCACTGAGCGCCTCGTCTTCAAAGGCTTAAGATCTTTCGAAAAGTTGGTGAATTTTTTTCATCACCATGAAAGCTTTGGTAAGTGAGATATTTAGAAGGACTTTGATTTGTTCTGAAATGAATTACCATGTATATTTTAACGATGCAAAGGGATTATTCACCTTAATCTTAGTGATATTATTTATAACGTCTCTTGTGTTCTGTGCCCCACCAGTGGCCAAATGCTTAAGATAGTTGCATGCTGGGAGTTCGATCTCAAGCAAACGGGCTGGCTGCACGGCTGGCTTTCCCCATGTAAAATATTAATTCAAGCCAGTTTCTGCCATATTCAACTAACCTAATCTAACCTAACTTCTTGTGTTCATTTACCTGCCATTTTAAATTTTCGAAATAAACTTTTAATAAGCGAAGCCCAAAGGAATTCGAAGCAACAAGGAACAGCACTTTTATTCGGTGCCTATATGAGAATTTAGTTGCTGTATTTGATAAATTTATTTCAGAAGCTTCCATTTTTAGCTTTAACAAGTTAAGTAGTTGTGGAATAACAAACTCTGTTTAATTATAATAATTAGAAAATACTTACAAAATCAACTTAAATTTGAAATTTCTTACAAAGATATTTTGTTCTTCGGTATGAATTTTAATAATTAAAGTATGCTTAACATGCCTATAGGAATTAAAAGTTTGATAAATACAAATTTTCAATTTTCTGAAAAGTCTTTAATTTAAATAATATTACAATTAATGAACGATAAGTAGCCTTATCTGGAATAAGATCGATGAAAATGTAAGCTAAAATTTTCAGGCCCAGAACCAAGTAATGTAAATTTATAATTATATAAGCAATTTTTTAGCAGCAAAATCATGTAATGGAGTGAATAACCTAAACATGACCTATCAAACGATATTGATTATAGTGCGGAAAAAAATTACCCATTTCTACGTCAGTAGTCAGATATATATATATATATATATGTATATCATACAGTGGTAGTTAGTCGATTCAACTGTGCACAAAAGCGTTCGTGTGCATCTGAAAAACAGAGTAGTATTTCAAGGTTTTCACTATAGGAATAATACTTAATACAGCTTAAAAAGATATCAATATTATCACAATAACAAACCTTCGCTTTCTCATCGCATGGAATCATTTAAGCTTAATATTCTGGTTTATTTATTGAAATAGAATTTTATAACATGTGATACTTTTTACATTTTTTTCACATTCGCCTCCTTTATATCAGAAATTCGTCATTTATTGATATCTATTGTTATTGCTAGCCCAAAGGGACAATTTGCCCAAAAGGGGTATTAATTTCGTTGTGACATTTTGCGTTGATTCACTATAAACGGCGAATCCCTTTTTTAAATTGTTGCCACTAAATATTAGAGCCCTGTACTAAATTTAAAGAAATTAAATAATGAAGAATCTGCATAAATATATGTATGTTTCTCGCACTGTGATAAAACAACGGTACCTAGAGCCATCGTCTCCACCCGAATATGGGCATCTGGAAACCCAAATTTGGAATTTGTTTTATTATCTATTTCATATTTTGTAAAGCATTTATGAGCTTTTGGTTAAGAAACTAAATGATTTCAAAACGAGCAATGGCAATACTTTACGGGAAAAGAAAAGCATTTTTATCTCCAGCGTGCGAGACTGTGCATCAGAAATTCTAAAGATATGCTGTTTTAAATATTTTGCGATATTGCTGTTGAATTAGATTTTATGGTTAAATGCGAAAAAGATGATATTTAATAAATAAAGGTAGCACACAAAACATTTAAAAAACGCCCCTTTGTGCGTAATATAAAATCTGAAAGCTTTCAGATTCTTTTTAATAATTTCTTTCCCGCGGTAAGTCGTAACTTAAATTTTATTCTTGGTATTTTTTAATATTATTTTTTTTTTTATAAATAAGAATGGATTGTGCATGTATTTTTAAAAAATGGTAACTAGAATTTTTTAGTATTATTGTGGTTAAAATGTAATTAGAATTCTTTAATTTTAATTATAACACACATTAGGTAATATATAACATAAACCTAACTTAAGAAAGTGAAAATATGCGTATTTAATAAAATATGTGAATAATATATTTGGTTAATTTAAATAAAACTTGTGTATTATTTTGCAGTGGTAGCAGACATAATTGCGTTGCAAATTATTTCAAAAGCTCTCATTCAACTTCATTTACTAAATAAAAATATCACGTTATCTCTGTATGAAATGTAGTGAAAAATATTTACCTGTCATTGCAAGTTTGTGATATATGGAATCAGAGCCGTAACAAAACTTTTTATTTTTATTTTATTTTATTTTTAAATCAAGAACTCAGCTTTTTTAAAAATGGCCACTTTATTTCTCCATTATTTGTTGCTTATTTTTTTATAAATATTGTCATTACATTGTTTTCCTTTTATTGCTATTACAAAGGTTATCTATCAGTGTTCTCTTATGAAGGCTGTCGTAGTGCCCATTCTGTTCTGTCATTCACGTACGGATGTTAACTAAGAATTTTTAAACAAATGCAACCGAGACTTAAATGTACAAAGCTTATTTGCTCACATTATTTTTGAGAGCATTTCGTGCTTTTGTCCTCTCGTTTAAATATACTCTTATAGAGACATTAGGTTATTTCGAAGCAGGAGACCTGAAAAATGTGCAATGCCCTCGCCAGGACTCGAAACTTGACCTTCTCGAATACGCGCCGAGTTTGCTAACCATTACACCACGAAGGTATGCTGAGAAGGCTTGAGAAATACATTATACTCTGACGTAGCATGCCCGTAGTGTACATTCCTTTAAGTAGTTAATTCTATTTACCTAAAAGATAACGCAATTGCTTAAAGCATTACCTAAAACTAGCACCCTATAGTATTAAATTTTATCAAAATTTAAAACTGGAGTGCTTCATTACTAGTACAGAACTAAATAAAGCACAAAAAGTAATGAACTACTTTTAAACGAAATTTGCAAATACGTATTTTGTTATTAGTGCAGCATGTTTACGAATATTTGGTTAATATCATCAAAAGAAGCATTGCTAAATTATAAAAAGAAAATTAAGATTTGTTTTTGATATATAGTTACATAATTGATTTCATTTAGACAGGCTGAAAATTGTTGCACAGATTTAAATTATTCTTGTTTCAAAATATAACAAAAAATTTCCCCATCTTTATTGTAAATTCGCATATTGTCAATTACAATGTTTGTGAAGTTTTCGAAAATGTGCTTCTTGATTTAATTCTTAATTTTACTTAGATCATATTATGCCGTTGAGTAAATGCATTTAACCAGCACAGATTGAAAGGGTCCAAATACTATCGCTTAAAAATTTCTTTATTATCCGCAATTTTTTTAATTTAAAAAATGTTTTAAATAACGCTTCGTTTTAAAAATTTCTATTGTTGTTATTCACCATAACGAAATGGCGTATAGCTACAGCAGAAGCTTCATAAGTAATTGTTGTAGGATGTAAATATATCTTTTCGATGGCAGTCCATGAGCATCTTCTGATAGAACAATTATGCCTAGTTCCATCTCAATTTTCAAGGAGAATACTCTGGGGGAAAGAAACCACGGTTACGTATTCCTCTTTCTTTTCCATTAACCTCTTGAGAGCTAGCCAGATTTTAAGTATCCTAAAGCTTTTTATACCTAAGTATTTACCTAAGTATCCTAAAGCTAATTTCGATGGCAGTCCATGAGCATCTTCTGATAGAACAATTATGCCTAATTCCATCTCAATTTTCAAGGAGAATACTCTGGGGGAAAGAAACTACGGTTACGTATTCCTCTTTCTTTTCCATTAACCTCTTGAGAGCTAGCCAGATTTTAAGTATCCTAAAGCTCAAAAGACGGTATATAGTTATAAAAATCCTAAGTTTCGCCAGGATTCAGACCCACGGATATAGCAGTTAGCTCTATTAACCATCCAAGATGCCTAAAAAGTTTTATGATCTCCATGGTGTTGCAAAATCTTTCACGTTAACTTCAATAGCCATTCTTAGGAATTTTTTTTTTTTTCATATTTCCAGCTTTGCACCCTCTCTGCATTCCTTGTGCTGACAGTAGTTGCTGCAATTGATCCTTGGCATGGTGGATACGAACACGAGGAGCCTAAAGTCATAAAGGTTGTCAAGCCAGTGCATCACGTCGTCAAAGTAGTCAAGCACTTGCCACCTCCAATTCCCGTTATATCACATGTGCAGCTTCATCGTAAAACCATAGTAGGCCAACCTCTTGTCTTCCATCACAGTGAATTTATCCCAGTCCATCACGGACATGGCCATGGCTATGGAGGACATGGTTATGGAGGACACGGACATGGTCATCATGTTCCTATTTATAATTTCTACGGAGGCCATCACGGTGGCTTGCATGGAGGACATCATGGTGGATTACACATTGGTGGACATCTTGGTGGATTACGCATTGGTGGACATGGCAGCTTAGGATTTCACTGACAACTCGAAATGAATTAGAACTTTACAGTCACATGTATTTATTACTTGCCCGTCGAAATAGCCAATATGTGTCCAGTTCAATATTAGGAGTACATAACAGACTGTTTTCTTAATTTTTAGATTCATGTGTAAATATGCACTATTACAGAGTTTTCTGAGCAAGACTATTCTGAAGGTATTCAGACGTGAGTACAAAGAGCTTATTGTACAGTTCGCTCCCCATACTTTTCACATTATGTTAAATAAAAATTTCATTTTTTTAATTAAGTTCATTAAGTTCATTTATTTCATTAAGTTTTATTTTGTTTGAAATTCAGTCAAGAGAACTTTTAACATAATAGGAAAAGCATTTTACTTGGTGCAATGAACCTCCGAACATAGATACATCTTTTACAATTATTGTTTACGGTAATTCGTGCGTATCTTATAATTATTGTAATCCAAGCTGAATTGTTATCACAGGTATCACAATTAAGCTCAGCATTAAGTCAGTTCTCGTTAATTTAATTATGTTGATTAATTCATAATCTGTTATTTGTTCCTTAGATGATATTATAAAAACCTATAGAAAATGGATAATTCGTCTTTAATAATTTAAGTCTTAATAATTTAAACTAATGTTTAAATGCAAAATATACTCTAAGGAATACCATTTGATAATCTTTAAAATATTTGGCACTTTTAAACTCCATTTTTGATAAAGATTCAAGTGCATATTCTTTTGTTTTTTCACTTAATATATTTCCATAATTGTAGTCTCATGTGTACATCATAATTAGAGTATTCCTCTGCAGTAAAATTAACTAACCTATTAAATGTGTTACGCTGACTTATGAGCTCTTTGCAAAACAAAAGCTTAATATGGATGAGAAATCCTTTACATATTCACAGCAAGTTTGTTATGATCTATTTACCTGTACATATTCTATACAGAAGGAGCCTGTTGACATCAGGATATTGTTACTCCTCCCTCTGCCATGCAATGAAAGTAAGATTTTAAATTAACCATTAAAATAGAACTGTAATTATAAACTTATGGCAGAAAATAGGAAATACTACTTCCAAAATCTTATCTTTGTTAATTAAATCCCTCTGTTCATCAAAATCTATCAGCTTTAATTAATGATGTCAACTAAATTTTTATTCCCCTAGTGTTTAAAAACTTTGCCTCATAAATTTTTACTACTTCCTCATGTTTTGTTCAATAGATGACACTATCATTAGCCCGAAGGGCGTTAGCTCAGAAGGACTATTAATTTCGTTTTCGCATTTTCTGTTGATTCACTATAAATGTCGGTTCACTTTTAAAATTGTTGCCACCAAATATTATCGCCTTGTGTTACATTTAAAGAAATTAAATAATGAAGAATCTGCATAAATGTATGTATGTTTCTCGCATTGTGATAAAACAACGGTACCTAGAGCCTTTAAATAACGTAATCTTCCACCGAATATGGGCATCTGGAAGCCCTAATTTGGAATTTGAAATTCGTTTTATTATCAATTTCATATTTTGTAACATTTTAACGAATATTTTATTAACAAACTCAATAATTTCAAAGCGAGGAATGGCAACACTGTACGAAAAAAAACATTTTTATCTCCAGGGCGCGAGACTGTGTATCGGAAATTCTAAAGACATGCTCATTTAAAAATTATTTTGCTGTTGGATTGAATTTTAGGCAAAGAACATGATATTTAATAAATAAATGTATCACACAAAACGTTAAAAAAAGTCCATTTGGGCGTAAAATAAAATCTGAAATCTTTCAGATTTTTTTTTCCTTGATCTTTTTAGTATTTCATTTATATAAACGATATAATTTTTGTAAAATTGCGTAAAACAGTTTTGCCCTTTGGAGAAGAGGGACTTGAGTATGACTTAACCAAAAGCATAGAACTGAGATAACTTCAAATTGGAAGAGAAACATGCTGATGTAAAAACTAAAATTAAGCGTAAACACAACTACGTTTGACACAAATGTTGAATTCAGTCTATCGATTTGGACCCCGAGCAGCTGCAGAACCCTCCTCTCGCAAATCATTTTTGTGAGCAAAAGATTTTGCCGAATTAAGGTTGCTTTTTTGCTTAATTTATCTAAACTAGCGTTTTGTTTTATTTCAGACTGGTGTGCTTCTCTTACTCATATTATATCTACTACAAAGGAATTCATATTCAAACTTTGAAAAATGCATTTATATTCAAAATGTAAAGTACAAATACTGTAGATTTCCGATTAATCGGGTTCTATAGGACCGGCTGTTAGACCAGACAATAGTTTAATCTTTAACCGCCCCCAAAAAAGTAAATAAATAAATAAACTAATCCCCAAGTATTATTTGTAGGCTCTTAATCAGATTTCCTAAAAGTATACTGCATATAAATATTTATATCATTTACTTGTTTAAAATTGGTAATATTTTTATCACTTTTAATATTTTAATTCTTCATTCTGAAGCAAATTTTTTTCCCTCACAAAGACAATATTAATGGCGTGGAAATTACTCTTATTATTCAATGTGTCTCATTGTCCATTTCTATAGCTAACATGTCATTTTCCACTTGTTAGAATTCTTTATTTTAAATTAAAGTAAATTAAATGAATATAAAGAACTAACAAATAATACGCTCACGAAAAGAAAACAATGCTTAAGATGCAGTTAACAATCTGAACTAAAGCCCAAGTTCGAGAGTTTTCAAATATTCCATGATAATCAGTACTCTTACTTTTACTTCCTTGGATGAACTGAATACGTTTTCTTTCTGCTCGATGTACTGTAGTTTTTTGAAAAAATCATGGCTAAAATATGACAGGTAAAGCAAGACCGGATAAGAGGATACCTTCTGTACGCACAGAATAGTATAAATCAACTAAAACATGCGCTTCAAATAACTGATTCCACCTGCAGAAATCTGTTACAGTTATAAACAGTGCCGATGCCAAGATTTTAACAGAAATATGTGCTTTTACTGAAGTTAAATAACATTTGCAATATTAATCATATATGAAATTTCATGCCTTGCAATGAAGTCACGAAGTTTCTTGTGCTATAATTTGGATTTTTTTATCTCAATTTAATATAATAAAAAATTTCTTTCCCCAAAAATAAAAGGCAATAAATTTTTGTGCTCAATGAAAACTAAGGTTATTCCCAGTATAATTCCCTGCTGTAGAGTCCAAATAACTTAACATTCTCAACTACCATAAATGTAAGGTGTTATTTTTGATATATTTGTGGTGAATTATCATCACCAGAATATCTAGCCATCAAACAAACAGACACAGAATTAAACACTTCAAGTTTATTCTACTTCCCCATTTGTGACTGCTTTAATTAAAATATACAAACACAAATTTGCCAGCCAACTTAGACCTGGTTTAGAACTCAAAGCTTCCTTCCATAAAGGATATAAATGTAACAAATTTTGTCTAATTTGATTGATTACAACATTCGACAGTGAAACATTCGTGAAAGAAACATTCGACAAAACGAACACACATTTACCAAATACAATCTAACTTCCCTGTCTAAAAGTATTCCCAGGAAGCCCAGCAAGTCTGTTTTCTTCAATTGGCAGATTAGCGAGTGGAACGCAGGCCAAACCCTCGCATTCTGTACGTAATATTCTAAACTTTATGGTAAAACTGCTTGCCTCTCAATACATTAATTCTAGAATGATCGACCCTCGTGGCAGAAAGTAAAGAATTAACAATTCCTTAATAAAACTTAAACAGAAATGACACTTGTATTTTTCTTTAAACTGCCCGAAAAATTCATTAGTTTGAAATAAAGCAAAATTTTTAAACATAAAGGTTTCGAATTTCGCATTTTTGTGTACAGTAGTGTATATGTTCAGAATAAAATAATAACTTTAATTTTTAATATTCTTTGAAGTCTTTCTTTTAATTGTCTTCACGTTTTCTGTCCTATTATATCTATAATTAAAACTGTTGATGTGAAGTTCTGTTTAGTTAATTGATTTTGTATAATTTATACACAGAGTGTCGATTAAAGTCCTCACTCATCCTTTATTTTCGCAATCGTTAGTCAAAGACATATATCTGAGTTACAAAAATGTTTTAAATAACGCAAATATTCATCTTTAGGCACTTTTAAATATGAAGGATTCAATGTTGTAAAGATTAGAAAATGTAACTTTTAAAACGTTCCTCCTATCTCTGTACTCATGTTTAGAAAAATTGTGGATTCGTTACAGTATGTAAGATATCAGCTTTTATCACCTATCCCGTGAGAAGGTAGATTACATAGCACAGATTATTAGAGTATGTTAAACACTAAATCATACTTTGCACATGGTAAATACATATCCATAATCTTACGACTTCTTTTCTAAATTACCCAATTCTATTTATATAACACAATTTCTAAACACTTTGAACCATGTGAAAAGAACAGAGCAGCTAGAACATACATGAAACACTCTGCTCTGCTTACTGTACGTTATGTTACTAATTAAGGTTACTAATTACTAAGTTTAATTCAGGTTACTAATTAACTTCCTGTTTAAAGAACTATGTGTTGCATATTACAAAAGTTCCTTAATATTTCAGGCAGAAAATCACATTTTGCATATATACGTATTCATATTTTACAATTTCGTACGGAGGTAACACGTTACAAATCACATTATGCAACATCTAAACATTTATAAACCAGGTGAGAGAACAGAACAGCGAGAGAGATACATACGATATTTCGTTTGCTATGCGCTATTAATCTCTTGCTAATAATTCGTTTCATATTAAAAAACATATTTTGCATATTGAAAAAAATTACTTAATAAGTCAGACCCCAAATCACATATTACACATTATCTAATTCAAGTTACATATTGCAGATTATACATTTTTTCAACTATAAGGTATTTTCGCATTTTCTCCAGCGTGCCTTCGTGGTGTAACGGTAGAATACTCGGCGCGTAGTCGAGAAATCCAAATTGGCGTCCCGGTGTGGGTAATGTGCATTTTTCATGTCACCAGCATCAAAATAACCTAATGACTCTACAGTAGAGCCAGAACTTAGAGGTGGTGGATGATGATTCTTCACCACCAGGATTTGACGACTGGGTCCCCTAATCCGCAGTCGCCTTTTAAAAGGTGGAGTATATAAGGTCTTTTCTCCATCTTTCTGCATGTCTTTGTGGTGTAAGGGTAGCACACTCGGCGCGTATTCGAGAAGGTACAGTTCCAAGCCCCGGCGAGGACACTGCACATTTTTCACGTCTCCTGCTTTAAAATAATCTA